ACAGAGACAGCTCTCATAAAGATAATAAATGATATTCGCTTAAATACTGATTCAGGCAAATTATCAGTGCTGGTACTACTCGACCTCAGTGCTGCATTTGACACTGTTGATCACGACATACTTCTTGACAGGCTGGAAAACTGGGTGGGGCTTTCTGGGATAGTCCTAAAATGGTTCAGGTCATACTTAGAAGGGAGAGGTTATTATGTGAGTATAGGAGACCATAAGTCTGAGTGGACATCCATGACTTGCGGAGTCCCTCAAGGCTCAATTCTTGCACCACTCCTGTTCAACCTGTATATGCTCCCAATAAGCCAAATAATGAGAAAGAACAAAATTGCTTACCACAGCTATGCAGACGACACACAGCTCTACTTAGCCCTATCGCCTAACGACTACAGCCCCATTGACTCCCTGTGCCAATGCATTGATGAAGTCAACAGTTGGATGTGCCAAAACTTTCTTCAGTTAAACAAAGACAAAACTGAAGTCATTGCGTTTGGAAACAAAGATGAAGTTCTCAAGGTGAATGCATACCTTGACGCTAGGGGTCTAACAACTAAAAATCAAGTCAGGAATCTTGGTGTGTCTCTAGAGTCAGACCTTAGTTTCAGTAGTCATGTCAAAGCAATAACTAAATCAGCATACTATCATCTGAAAAATATTGCAAGAATTAGATGCTTTGTTTCCAATCAAGACTTAGAGAAACTTGTGCATGCTTTCATCACCAGCAGGGTGGATTATTGTAATGGACTCCTCACTGGCCTTCCTAAAAAGACCATAAGACAGTTGCAGCTCATACAGAACGCTGCTGCCAGGATTCTGAGCAGAACCAGAAAATATGACCATATCACACCAGTCCTCAGGTCTTTACACTGGCTCCCAGTTACATTTAGGATCGATTTTAAAGTATTATTACTGGTATATAAATCATTCAATGGGCTAGGACCTCAATATATTGCAGATATGCTCACTGAATATAAACCTAACAGATCACTCAGATCATTAGGATCACATCAGCTAGAAATACCAAGGGTTCGCTCTAAGCATGGAGAGTCTGCTTTTAGCTATTATGCCAGCCGCAGCTGGAACCAGCTTCCAGAGGAGATCAGATGTGCTCCTACAGTAGTCACTTTCAAATCCAGACTCAAAACACATCTGTTTAGCTATGCATTTACTGAATGAGCACTGTGCCACTGTCCGTCCGACTGTTTTTACTGTACTGTTTGTTTGTTTTCTAATTTCTAATTTATTTATTTACTTATTTTTATAATCTCTGGAAGAGATTTTGAAGGAGAGCGGGAGAGTCTTCACTCCGATGAGGCGAGTGAAGGAGTAAGTTATACTGCTGTATAAGAAGTCGCTGAGAGCGTCGTTAAGGGTAACGGCAGCAGACAGCGCACACGAAGCGTGCTCTGTGGGGGCCCCGCTGGGCATTACTGGTGTAGCACCACCCCAGCAGAGTACGTCCCTGGGCTAGAGGTCCAGTGGCACCGTAAACCGGCTCAATCTCTTCCATCTCAGATAGGGGTGGACCAGTACTACTTTATTTGATTTTTTATTCTAAACTGTTTTAATTATTCTTATTTGTTTTGATTATTTTAATTTCTTCTATGTAAAGCACTTTGAATTGCCATTGTGTATGAAATGTGCTATATAAATAAACTTGCCTTGCCTTGCCTTGCCTTGCCTTCATGGAGCAATAGCCGTGAATGCACTTGTTTCAGTTATAAACCATGATACTAGCGATGAATGCCCTTTTTGTTTTCAGAAGGAGAACATATTTCATGCTTTTGCGAATTGTAACAGGCTTTTACCATTGTTTCAGGTTTTAAAGAGTTTATTTGTTCGTTTTGATGAGACTTTTTCTTTGGAAATATTTATTTGTGGTTTTAAGTATATTCGGAGATGTCGATTTTGTTGTCAATTATTGAATTTTTTACTGGGTCAAGCGAAGGCGGCGATATATGACACTAGAAAAATAAGAATAGAACGGAATTCAAGTGTTAATTTGCAGAGTGTGTTTTTTAACCTAGTAAAATCCAGAATTTTAATTGACTTTCGGTTTTATAAGGCTATGGGGGATCTTATGTCTTTTGAATTAATTTGGTGTTATAAGGGGGCTCTGTGTGAAATAATTAATGAGAGTTTACAGTTTGCACATATTTTGGAATGAGTTTTTTTATTTTTTTATTTAGTTAAATTTTTTTATGGCTATTTATTTGGATATTTGATATATTGAATGTGTATGGTTTTTGTACTCTTTTAGGTAGGAACTGAATATATTAGGTTGTTTGTAATAAAAGGTGTGTTAAAATTCAAAATTCTCCCTCTCTCTCTCTCTCTCTCTCTCTCTCTCTCTCTCTCTATCTGTGTGTGTGTGTGTGTGTGTGTGTGTGTGTGTGTGTGTGTGTGTGTGTGTGTGTGTGTGTGTGTGTGTGTGTGTGTGTGTGTGTGTGTGTGTACTTGTACGACTATCTTTGTGAGGACCAGTTTGAGTTGCAGACCATTGGAGTGAGGACAAAGAGAGTAAAGTGAGGACATTTTGGCCGGTCCTCACTTTCTGAGACCCCTTTAAAGGCCTGTTTGAGGGTCAAGATTTGGTTTTAGGGATACGGTTATAATTAGGTTAAGGGTAGGTTTAGGGTAAGGGTTCGGGTTAAGCACTTAGTTGTGATGAGTAAGGTTAGGGTAAGCAGCTAGAGATTGCATTGTGTCAATGAATGTCCTCATAAAGATAGATTTGTACATTTGTGTGTGTGTGTGTGTGTGTGTGTGTGTGTGTGTGTGTGTGTGTGTGTGTGTGTGTGTGTGTGTGTGTGTGTGTGTGTGTGTGTGTGTGTGTGTGTGTGTGTGTGTGTGTGTGTGTGTGTGTGTGCATTTGAGCGAGAGTTTTTTTATTTTGAGTTTAGAGATTTTATTTTGCATATTCAAAAAATTTCTTACCAGTTCATTTCTCTCTCTCTCTCTCTCTCTCTCTCTCAAATGCATGACAAATGCACCTCACAGTACCTCTGGGCTCCTCAAGGTGCAAGAGCGATCCGTGCAGCAAGGAGATGACAGCATCGTCCACCCTTCCTTCACATTTGCAGTAAATCCAGGGTCTTATTATCCCTGTTGCATGTAACATACTGTGTAATTGTGGAAAGAGTTGAGGACAATGAGACATGATTAAAAATCACCTGAAATGAGAAGGGAATTGGGGTGCGATGTTTGCAGCTGTGACACTGTAGTGTCATAAGCTCATAAGCCGCTGAAGCATCATGCGAAAATACTGGGATGTTATACATTTAAACATTTTTATTTTGTAACCTAATACTACAAATAAAATGCATATTTTAATGTGGGGTAGGCTACTATCCACGTTGTTTTTAATGTAATAGACCTTATTCAGAGCAGCGCCATGCCAGGTATGAATTATGAAAGCGAGGTTGTGAGGCAAAGACTTACCGTGTATTCAGTGGCATCCGCTGTGTATATAGGCTATATAAATAAATTATATATATATATATATATATATATATATATATATATATGTGTGTGTGTGTGTGTGTGCATAAAGCTCATAGATTCGTCAGCAGAACAGTAAAAAAAAAACTTAACATCTATCTATCTATCTATCTATCTATCTATCTATCTATATCTATCTATCTATCTATCTATCTATCTATCTATCTATCTATCTATCTATCTATCTATCTATCTATCTATCTATCTATCTATCTATCTATCTATCTATCTGTCTGTCTGTGTGTGAACAACCACTTCACATATTCAGTTAAGATTTGAAAATATAGCATTTAAAAAGTTGAAGATGTTATTTTCTGATAAATTGCATGACAGCAACTTACCATTTGTTTAGCTTGTCTTGTCTCAATGCAAAAAAAAAAAAATTATTGAAAAAGATTTGATTGAAAGAGGAACAAAAACTGGAAATAAAAATAAAAATGGAAATAAATAGCCACTGTATGTGCTTAAACAATGCAAACTAGGATCAACCACAGTTTATGTATCTTCTATGCATCACAAAAGTATGTTCTTGTAAATGGCTCCCCCTGGTGAAAACACTGTCCTGACTTAGCTTTAGGGGTCTGGGGCCGTATTTCAGAAACTTCCCAACCGTCCGACGCTAATATGATCTCAACTAAAATTGCCATGGTTACTAAAGTAAAGAAATTCCTAAACTCTCATCATACATATGATCTCATTAAGATCGTGAAAACATGAATTCAGACCCAACAGTCTGTGTCATTTCATCATCAATGTTTAATATCTGTCAACAGTGATTAGTAAAAAAGAAGCAATCAGCCAAACTTGGTGTGAAGATTGGTGTGTTTACAGTACATTTATATTATTTTACATTAGAGCACATAAATCAAACATAGCAAAAAAAAAAAAAACAGAACTGGCGGCTGAAAATAAACTTGCAATTCCAAACCTTTGTTCAGACAGATCTGGAAAAAAAAAAATCGTTTCTTTAGTCTGAACAGAAAATAAAGCCAATGAAATCAGGTGTTAAAGCTATATCTATCTATTGTTGTTGTTGTTGTTATTTTCAATTGTTTTCACTCTCAGATCAGATTTCGAGCAGTTTTAATCATCAGTTAGAATGTGGCACATTTTCCTGTGAATCATATGACAGTCATTACGTGGTGAATAGAAGCCTATAATACTTTTGTAATTAGCAGGTCAGATTTCATAACCTGAAATATGTTTCAACAGTAAGTCCTAAAGATTGAAATTTAAAGCCAAATCAGTTTTGTGTTCAGTGTGAACAAAGCCCCAAAAGATCCTAATGGCACATACAATAAAACATTGTAAATACATTAAATATATCACACATACACATTAAAGTCAGAAAAAAAGTGTGTGTATAAACACACAAATACTCACAAAATTCATACATACACAAAAAGTACGAACTTTTCACTTGTACGAACACCAAGACAAAATATCTGACTTAAGCTGATATTCCTCCTTGTCATCATTCCTTTTTAAAAAAAGTCTCAAAATAATTATCTTTAGGTTATTACCTTTGATGGCCCATCAGGCCAATTCATATTCAGTGGATTTGTAGCTTTCGTTGCTTTCTGGTATCTTATTTTTCCATAAAGAGAAAGTCTTCCTGCGAAAGCCTATGTTTGACACACACAGACTGGTCAGAAATGCTGGGTGTGAGTTTAAAAATGGCCTCAGAGTGAATAAAATTAATATTTGAACCCCCTTTGGAAATAGAAAGAAAAACAGAAGCATTGCTGATTTCATTTATAATCCATTATAAGATTTTGTGCATTTTTGTGCAATGTGCATTAACACACCTGTGTTGTGTTTAAGAGACAGAAAACCACACTCAGAATAAGTTTGAGATTTGTTTCACGGGTGATGATCAAAATGTAGCCGGTGACCCAGGACAGGCCGAGCATCACTGCCAGAGAGAAACTACTCAAAACCTTCTTCTTTAGAGGAGTTTTCCGTGAACTAAACAGCAACAGTGTTATTGGTTAAATATATTCTCATAAATGCCTTTTGGTTGATAACTGATAGTGCTTTTCTGGTCCCAAAGTAAACATACCTGTTTAATTTAGGGTTGGTCCTGCATATGTTGTGAGAGAAGTACATCAGTATTGCCATGTTTGAGAGCAGCATGAGCATTAATGGGAGCAAGAATCCCCAAAACATAGGTTTTCCCATATTGAACTTCTGTTTGTCGTCCAGTGAAGCCAGCCAGCAACTGCATCAAAGAAGAGTGACAACTGAACTATTACAATCCAGAGAGAACAATGTAAAAACACATAAATAAAGTAAATATTTTATTTTACATTTAAAGGGTTAGTTAAACCCAAAAATGAAAATTCTTTCATTTACTCAACCTCATATCGTTCCAAACCCATAAGACTTTAGTTCATCTTCGAAACACAAATGATATTTTACTGAAATCTGTGAGCTGTCTGTCCCTCCGTTGACAGCTACGCAACTGCCACTTTTGCGCTTCAAAAACTCCATAAAGGGTTCATGAAACTAAGCCACATTAATTAAGCAGCTTAGTCAAAATTTATTGAAGAGTCTCGATCGCTTTATATGATTTACATATTGAATTTAAAGGGAACCTATTATGCAAAATTCATTTTTACATGGTGTTTGGACATAAATGTGTGTTGGCACTATGTGTACACAACCACCCTACAGTGATAAAAATCCACCCAATCCTCTTTTTTTTTAAATCCCCATAAATTATAAGCAGTGTCTCCCAACGACCTGTCCTCAGAATGTGGCTTTAGTGACGTCACTACAGCCACAGGCCCCGCCCATGAGTGTTGACAGACACTGCCGTTTTAACATAGAACCGCCCGCATCGAGTTCACAGCGAGTTGAGAGTTGTACACTTCCTGCACTGACGAGAATGTCTCCCAAGCGTTGTCGGTGTTGTGTAGCTGGATGTATTAATCCACATAGCTCTATTTACTAAAAAGTTGCTCCTGAAGGATGTAGCAGTGCCAACTATTCATGATCCAGCTACACATCTAGAAGCAAGTATTACGCATTTGTTTTCCAAATTGCCTTTGAATTTGTCAAGCTCATAATAACATGTTAAGGCTCGTACACACCGGGACGAATATCGACGCGCGTTATTCGGCAGCGTTTTTCAGCGCGTTTTTTGTGTTCACACCCAAGCGATTTTCCCTGACGATGAGCCGAGTGAACATGCAAATTCATTCCCTGACATTAGTTGGCGCCCATTTGCTCTGCAATACCACTCCATAATATTCTCTTTTATCAAGATTTTTGTAGTCGCTGTCGCATTTGTCATATAGTTCTTTCTGTTCCGACACCAACGAGACCAGCAGCTCTACATTCATCTTGCCTTGCATCTTCCTCGTCTTATTTCTTCCCGGCACTCGGCAGTGTAGACGCTACTTGCCGTATATCTTCTTCGCCGTTACGTATGTGTGCTCGGCAAGACCGTTTTGTGTTTGAGCGCCCCCAAGTTGTGTTTTACTGTAACTTCAGAAGCTCCAGACACGTGAGCAAAAGCGCCAATCTCATTGGTTGGATAGTTTTTGACGCGGCGCGTCACACAAAAAAAACGAACCCGAGGCGTTTTTAAAAAAAATGACGCTTTTACGCGTGGCGTTTTTCGTGTCGGTGTGCACACTCACATTGGCGCCCTTTGTTTAGTCACGAGGCGTTAAACGTCGGCGAATATCGCACGCGAAATTCGTCCCGGTGTGAACAGGCCTTTAGACTTATAAAGTTTGTGATAGCACCGTGAGTCCGTCCAGCAATGTTGTTATTTTTTTTATCGCGCTGATAGTGGAATCTTTATTTGTAAAGGACAGCACATCAGAATAGAGCAACCAAACAAGAGATATTGCTTGTCAGACAGACGCAAAACCGCTGACCAAGTCTGTTGGTACTCAGTTATCAATGAAGAGTTTCATGTTCGCTACAGGAGTTCAGGTATGTTTATGTATTACATGATACTGCTTATACAGAGGACCTCTCATGTCGGAAAAGTGGGGCAGGAGCAGCAGCTCATTAGCATTTAAAGGGAAACACTAAAATGGTGCGTTTTTGCACAAGCCCAAATTTGCCAATTTTAAAATGCTATAAAAAATTATCTGTGGGGTATTTTGAGCTAAGACTTCACATACACACTCTTGGAACATCAAATATTTGTTTTACATCTTGTGAAAAGGGGCATAATATGTCCCCTTTAAGCTTTTATTCACATATTAAGCACGTTTCAGTTATGGTATTTGGAAGCTCAAGCTTGCTTGCAGGCAGCATGTTTGAGCTTCAAGAACCAATGAGGTTCATACTCGTGTATTACGCAGCACGTTTGAGCTTCAGCAAGAACCAATGAGATTCATTCACGTGTTATGCACCATGTTTGAGCTTCCACAAGAACCAATGAGCTTCATTCTCGTGTATTACGCAGCACGTTTGAGCTTCAGCAAGAACCAATGAGATTCATTCACGTGTTATGCACCATGTTTGAGCTTCAGCAAGAACCAATGAAATTCACATTCTCACGTGTTACGCAGCACGTTTGAGCTTCAGCAAGAACCAATGAGGTTCATTCACGTGTATTATGCAGCATGGAGATGCCATTGCTGTAAGCCTTGGCTGTAATTATGGACGAAAACTTACAGGCCTTGAATAGGAGATGAGGAGTACCCTGCCAGATGGCAGCATTTTGAAGGCATAGTTGCATCGCAACGGCACACTCCACTGGGGTAGATACCCATGTACCCTTTGGCCACCCAACCATCGATGTAGTGGAGGGGGCACCAGAGTGGTTTCGGGCAAAAAAAGGTGCCTCCACGACTTTGTGACCTCCTCATTAACCTCAGGGGAAGAAAGGCACTGGAGTGGGATGCTGCTATTCAGCATGCCCCATCCCCAAGATACCAATCATCCAGTCTTGAGCTTTTGGGAAACGGTCGAGGATTTCACTCGAGCCTGACGCTCTCAGCAACGCAAGCAAGGATCCTTGAGCTTCTGTTTATGTTCGCTGAACAATGTTCAGAATAAAAGCCTAAATTCAATCTGTTCATCATATATAGTAATCAAATTTAGACTAAACTGCTCAAAGTGTCAAAGTGGTTGTTGCATAGACTGTCAATTTGTGCTTTGAAAATGAACAAAAGTCTTACGAAAAGTCGAAAGTCGAAAGTTTGGTACGATGTGAGGGTGAGGATGACAGAATTTTTCTTTTTGGATGAACTATCCTAAGGGCTGGTTTCAAAGGCTGGGCTTAGATTAAGCCATGGTTAGGTCTTAAATAAGGGCATTAAAGTAGCTTTTTTAATTTTGATCTTCAGCAAGAACCAATGAGATAAGTAGCTTTTGTTAAAGGTCCCTTTAAAAACATTAGTGTGCATCTTTAGGCAAAACAATGGCACTGACATAAAACTGCTCAAACATGCATTTTAGTCTAGGCATAAAGGTAATAAAAATGAGTATTAAAAAATTGAAATATTTGATACTTACAACTCTTCTTGTCGATAACCTAAAGGCTCTTTCACACTGTAGGTGGAACCCAATGAGATGCCAACAATAACAGCGGGTAGAACTAAACAGAAAAAGATTTATTGACATTATATATTGGATATATTATTTCATATTTAGGGTTTAGTCTTTTGTTTGATTTTGCAGTTAATACCCAGGATGCAAGGTGGATGAAATAAGAAAAAACGATTTACCAATTATAAAAGAGTTGGTTGACAATATACACCTTTTCTTTCTTTCTTTCTTTCTTTCTTTCTTTCTTTCTTTCTTTCTTTCTTTCTTTCTTTCTTTCTTTCTTTCTTTCTTTCTTTCTTTCGTTTTTGGAAAAGTGATTAAAAATACTGAAAAACGTTTTAATTAAAATACAGTCATGTACACTGCAGTAAAGCTACTTGATCAATATAACTAAACAATTATTTGAAATACAGTTTTAGAATATCTTCTCGCCAAGTCATTAGTGGGGGTTTTTTTTCAATACACGCAATTATTCGTATTTAGTTTAAACAAGATGAGTGATTTCTGAATCCTCTTCAACTTTGTAATCTTCAAAAACATACTGAAAACCTTTTGGCGATTATATATAGGCCTATGTTTATACTCGACATGCTCGAAACGCATGGTTGCTCTAGATAATGCTTAAAGGAGTAGTTAACTTTAAAATTAAAATGATCCCATGATTTACTTACCCTCAAGCCATCGTAGGTGTATATGACTTTTTCCTTTCAGACGAATACAATCGGAGTTAATAAACACCCTGACGCTTCCGAGCTTAATGGCAGTGGATTGCAACCATCTGACAGAAGTAGCATGGCGTAGCATAAATATCAGCAATATGTCGCATTACTCCCATAAGTTGCACTTTAGACTTAAGTCGAATCCGTATGTTAATTTGGCTGGAAGCTTTGTTTGAGCTTCAAACTGATGGTTGCAATCCACTGCCATAGTATTTTAGATGATTAACGTTTAACAAACCTTAAAGGAAAAGTTCACCCTAAAATGACCCCAAAAAAAGTCTTCATTTTTTCACCCTGGTGTTGTGCTAATGCCACATGCCCTTCTTTCTTCTTCGGACCATAAAGGGAGATTTTTAAAAAAAAATGTTAAATCCAGCTTGCACTCATCTATATAATGGCAGTGAAAAGGGTCCAGCATCTAGCTTTTAAAAAATATCCAAAATTATCACAGAATGATCCCATGCAACACATAGTCTTATTGTCACAGTCTCCGTCTGCACCAGTCTGTCTTAGTCTGCACTACACTACCCAAAATCCTCCTTGTCTCCATACCTGAATTCACTCCCTCAATCATCCACCTGTTCATCGTCTTTATCATCTGTGTCACCTGTCCTCACCTCGTTAGTGGTCGTTTGTATCTGTATTTAGTTCTCTCTGTTCAGTCTGTCTTTGTAAATGTTACCTTGTATTGTGAGTGTTACACTTCTGCCTGTCTACCTGCCTGTACCAGTTTGTGTTAGTTGATTATAGTAAAAGTTTGAATTGGAGCCTTTGCCTCAGCCTGTCTTCATTCCACACCACACCGTGACAGAGGAACCGACCAAGAAAAAACATGGAAGTTGGCCGCTTCCTTTCGAACCCTGTTGACCGTCTGACTCATTGTTTCCAGGAGGGCCGCACGATCGAAAAGTATGTGGAAAATTTCCTACAGATTTCTCACCTCGTAGATTGGACAGAGGACGTCCTGAAGACCGTATTCTGGTGCGGACTAGATGATCCTCTGTACCAACCAGCTCCAGCGGAAGCAATCCCAGGTACTTTTGTCCAGTACCTGGATTATGTGCTGTGGTTGAGTGGCTCAACCTTCACCGTAGGTGAGGCTGAAGAGGACATCACCACTCAACCACACACACCAGCCATCTTCACCATGACACCCATCATCATCTGGAATTCAGAGCCCGCTGATCCTGCGCCAGAGACCGTCCAGCCAGAGACCGTCCAGCCAGAGACCATCCAGCCAGCTCTGGAGGACGCAGTGCTCCTTGTGGGATCCATGGCTGTTTTGTGTGTGTGGGTAGCACACACATTCGTTACAGCCCATGAACCCAGCCCTGAGCTTCCTTCGCCGCTGGTCCCGTCCAGCCCTGAGCTTCCTTCGCCGCTGGTCCCGTCCAGCCCTGAGCTTCCTTCGCCGTTGGTTCCGCCCAGCTCAAAGCCCTCTTCGCTGCTGGTTCCGCCCAGCTCAAAGCCCTCTTCGCCGCTGGTTCCGCCCAGCTCAAAGCCCTCTTCGCCGCTGGTTCCGCCCAGCTCAAAGCCCTCTTCGCCGCTGGTTCCGCCCAGCTCAAAGCCCTCTTCGCCGCTGGTTCCGCCCAGCTCAAAGCCCTCTTCGCCGCTGGTTCCGCCCAGCTCAAAGCCCTCTTCGCCGCTGGTTCCGCCCAGCTCAAAGCCCTCTTCGCCGCTGGTTCCGCCCAGCTCAAAGCCCTCTTCGCCGCTGGTTCCGCCCAGCTCAAAGCCCTCTTCGCCGCTGGTTCCGCCCAGCTCAAAGCCCTCTTCGCCGCTGGTTCCGCCCAGCTCAAAGCCCTCTTCGCCGCTGGTTCCGCCCAGCTCAAAGCCCTCTTCGCCGCTGGTTCCGCCCAGCTCAAAGCCCACTGCACCGCTGGTTCCGCCCAGCTCAAAACCTTCGCCACTGGTCCCGTCCAGCAAAGAGCCCTCACCGCTTGCCCAGCCAGAGACTGTTAACGTCCCGTCTGCCCAGCCAGAGACTGTTCACGTCCCGTCTGCCCAGTCTGGGTCTGCTCACATCCCGTCTGCCCAGCCTGAGGTGGTTTACGGCACGTCTGCCCAGCCTGTCCCTCATCCAGTCACTCTCCCCAATAATTTTTTTGGGGGGGTGCCATAGGTCACCGCCATGGCCGCCCGAAGGGTCCTCACCGCCATGGCCGCCCGAAGGGTCCTCACCACCATGGTCACCCGAGGGGTCCTCACCACCATGGCCACCCGAAGGCCATCACCACCGCCCTGGACGCCCGAGGGTCCGGCCACTCCGCCCTGGATGCCCGAGAGTCCGACAGCTCCGCCCTGGATACCCGAGGGTTCGTCTACTCCGCCCTGGCCATGCCCACGTCCTGCTCCGCCCTGGCCACGCCCTCGTCCTGCTCCGCCCTGGCCACGGCCACGTTCGGCTCCGCCCTGAAGGCTTCCCGCTCCTGTGATCAGGCTTCAGGGCGCCCACCCCCCCCACCCCTGTTGTTCCACGGCATGAGGTCACGCCTACCGGGAGGGGAGAGTTATGTCACAGTCTCCGTCTGCACCAGTCTGTCTTAGTCTGCACTACACTACCCAAAATCCTCCTTGTCTCCATACCTGAATTCACTCCCTCAATCATCCACCTGTTCATCGTCTTTATCATCTGTCACCTGTCCTCACCTCGTTAGTGGTCGTTTGTATCTGTATTAAATTCTCTCTGTTCAGTCTGTCTTTGTTGGTTCTTGTAAATGTTACCTTGTATTGTGAGTGTTACACTTCTGCCTGTCTACCTGCCTTTACCAGTTTGTGTTAGTTGATTATAGTAAAAGTTTGAATTGGAGCCTTTGCCTCAGCCTGTCTTCATTCCACACCACACCGTGACACTTATATTCCATGTTTACTGGGGGTATATAAAACAAACCAAACAAAAGTTTTATGGGGTTTTTTTTTTAATGAAAATCCTGACCTTGGCAGTTAGTCTTCTCTGCACGGCTGCGCAATGTGTGCATTCTATTAGAGCCGCAGTTCACTCCATCTTGCACAGAAGTTGTGAGAAATCAAGATTAACAAAAACGCACCATGAAATGCCTAGAAATTCCCCCCAAAAAAGTATCTGTGTGCTTTTTTAACTGAGTTAAATATCTCTGGGAAGGCTCAAAGTCGCACATTGCCCAGTAGTGCACAGAAGACCAACGGCTAAGGTCAGGAAGTTTCTGGTTTTTTTTTTTTTTTTAAACCCTATAGTATACTCCCAGAACACTTGGAACATATGGCATGAGTCGCATGGGATCATTCTTTGATGCTTTTGCATATTTTAAAAAAATCTTGATGCTGGTTGCTATTCACTGCCATTGTATGGACAAGCACGAGCAGGACATTTTGTTTTTAGGACATACGGCATTGGAACAACACCAGGGTGATTAAATGAGAAATTATTCATTAAAGTTTGTGAGGAAAACTCAACAGAAAGCAATGCTTTCTTGACATAAAAAAAAGGATTTATTTTGCTGTGGCTCTAATGATTCAGCAGCAGAAAATAATTTGGCCAAGGCCATAATTGGCAATAATTCAGCAATAAAAATGTTAATATTTATACCAGTTGATACATTTACGCATATATAGTTTTAACCCATACTGAAAACCAAGACGTTAATCATAATACATTAGTGTTTTGTTCAATATCCCCTACCCCATCCAATAGCCAGGGAGACCTTTGGAAACCATGGAGGTGTTCCAGACGCTCCATTTTGGAAGAGGAGGAACACATTAAGGCCGTACAGAGTGTTCCAAGTGAACGTGGCCAACAGGAAGTACTGAAGCAGAGCTGTAAATGCTGTACAGGGACCCTCATCTGGGTACTTGTGATGGTCTGACTCGGGAACTATGTTCTGACCAGACAACTTTGCCACACTCAGATGTTGGACAGGGTTGTTTATGCCGAAGATGAAGAGAAGGTAGAAAACCGTCATGCTGATGCAGATGTTCACAACTAGCAGAGTAGGACTGCCTCCTCTTGACTTCCTGCGGCAAAATGTATGAATATAAGCTATAAAAAGTTTCACCTCTCAAATAGCTGTGGCTATGCTTAACAGTGTAAACTATAAGCCTTTACCTGGTTATGATTTGGTACACAGCTGTGACAGACAGACCCAGTACAGACAGAGCGCAGCCGGTGATGCTGATCCAATGCAAGGCTTCAGAATACTGATAGTTGATATCAAATGCCTGCAGAAAATGACACTAAAATTCTAGTTGCAATGGACTTTAATTCACAGCATCATAGACTTTACACTCTTAAAAATAAAAGTTATTTATTGGCATCTTTGGTTCATTGGCATTCCATGGAACATTTCCATTGTACAAAAGGTTGTATATAGCGGAGAATGGTTCTTCTGATTATTAAAAATGTTCTTTACAATAAGAAAAAAATGGTTCTTTTAAGAATTAAGAATTGTTCAGTAAAAGGTTATTTGGTGAAGCAAATATGTATCTTCTATTTGCATTGCTCTGAAAACCACCTTTAATTTTTAGAGTGTAAGTCAAATATCAATGATATTTACATCCTTTTACAAATATATCTCACCATCAGAATGGCAAAGTTTGCATTTTTAAAATTTTTCGGTTGACAGCTGCATACTACATGACCTGAGGAGTTCAATATTTTGGAGCAGCCTTCTGGGCTCCAGTAATTTTCAGTGTAACTCCAAAACACACATGCAAAGTTGTTGAGGGATAGTGTGGAATCAACCTGAAAGTTCAACAATGTATTAATTCATGAACACCATACCTGTGCCGACCTCTGTCAATGTCACACTAAGAAAAAAAATGGTTTAGGACTATATACTGAAAGGTTCTTTAAGGGAACCAAAACCCCCTTTTGGAACCTTTATTTTTCAAGAGTTTCATTATTAATAAGCTACAGCAAGGCATGTTGTGTTGTTGGACTAGCTGCTCACCGATGGTGTGAATGCAAACTCAATGTGGTCCAATCCAAGATGTTCTTGAAGGTTAGCAGATATTACTCTTCTTTTGGTATCCAAAGAAGGTTGAAAGCTTTTTGACTGAAAGAACTGATCACTATCATAGAGGACAAACCCAACATCTTTATCAAAATCTACAAAAATAAGGGACAAAGTTAATATAGTTAAAATACCACTTTCAACCAACAATTTCATGTGAAATAATAATAAAATACAACAAGGGGGAAAGTAGACCTTCACTGAACATGACATTCATTTGAAAGTCAATGTTATCTTTGGAAATCTCAGCCTGTGTCGTATCCAGTTTTATTCTGTCAGGTAAAAAGGTATCACTCTGCCCTGAAGAAATGAAGATAAACATGACTGTTAGAAGCACGCTAACTGTCCAAACCCTTACAAAAAAAGAAAAGTATAATTACATTTTATTCAGTATACATAAGTAAAGTTCAAGTATATTTTTACTTTATGTATAATTATAATAATATCAATATACGAGTAGACAAAATTGGCCCACTTTTTTAATGCATAAGTGAACTTGTAGGTACACTGATAGTACCCTTTCTGATGTTGTGTTGAAATAAAGATACTAGGGGTCATTCTTGGGAGCCCCTTACACCTATGAAATTGGCGTGTGGAACCAGAGCAAACATCAGCGGTCTCTCTCAGCGTTTGCAGAGATAAGTGCAGGGAGTTCACCTGGGTGTATCAGCGGTGTTCTGAAAGAGGCAATTTCCTTAATATAGAGTGAATTCCAAGAGCTGCACAGCAGATTTCCTCTTTTTAAAGATGCAGTTCCGTCCGTTTCCTTCTGGGTGCAGATGATTTCTTTCTCTTCTCTATGAGGAAGATGAGTTAACAAGCACAGCATCGGAGGGTGGGCTTATGCCTTCTGAGTTGAATGACTCATCTGATCTTCCATCTTCGGGTGTCATAGTTCAGTCTGTGGCTAACGCAGAGTTGGCAGCCATGACTTCCCGGGCCCCTACAAGCATTGGGCTTGAGTGGACTTCTCCACTCTGTTCCAAACACTTATGGTTGGATGATTGGTTCCTGAGGTCGGAGCTCAATGCACAACTGAGGTCCCGTTCTACCCCGAGATTTCAAAGTCGTGGAATGCACATTTTGGGGCCACAGGACTTTGGGTGAGCCCCATGGGAGGGTGGAGGGACCTTTACATGGTCAGAAATATAGGAATTGTCTCTTTCCCTGGGTCACACACACATGGTGTTAATGGACCTTGTTTTTTATTTTATTTTTACGATGGCCAGACATTAAATACTCGCCCCAGAACCTTGGTGGAAATGAATACTTGGGCTCCCCACAATTTGTTGCAATGGGTCTAAGCAGAGAGAAAGGTAAGTGTGAGATTATCAATGAGGCGCAGTCCCCTCGACAGTGGGTCCGGTGAGCAAAGTAGGTGTTTGACACTCCATTCACCACAAGTGCCAAGGGATGCAAAACCTCACAACATGGCAACTCCTACTCCCCCTCGCTCGTTCCATTGGTGCCGCTAGTACAGAGTCTGGACGCATTGGCTAGCGCTTTCCAGCCCGTCATGCTGGCTCATCAGAACAGTCCAGTTCGGCTGTACTATTCTCCAGGCGCACAGATACAGTGGCGTTCTTTCTACTTCAGTACGAGGCGAGAACTCTGCTGTCATTCGGGTGGAGATCGCTGTCCTCTTAGCAAAGGACATGATAGAGCTTGTCCCTCCAGCCAAGAAGGTTTTTACAGCCCTTACACTTTTCTCTGTGTGAAGTTGGACTCGATCCCCATGACAGGACGTCTTTCACAAACTTTGAACTGCTTGAAACTGTTCAATCACAAAACAGTGGTACAACTGAAATATTTTCAGAGGCTCCTTGGGCAAATGGCAGTCTTGGCAGCGGATATAAGAGACTTCATATGAAAACATTAAAATTTCTAAAATATTCCACATTTTTGGCCAGCAGTGTACATAAATAAAAACACTGCATCATGACTTTTCCTCTTTTGCTGCATTCACACCATCTCTTAATTACAAAATGACAACATGTGGCGTTGTACTCTAAGCTGTTCATGTCCACAGACTTGTAATTATGCATCTCTATGGTAACACTATTAATGCCAAAATGAATCTGCAGTGGCCCGGTGGTACTGTAATTCTACAGGGTCGAGTTCTACAAGGTCATGAACACTTTTTACAAGTCGGAATCTTGTCATTTTGACATGCCGTAAATTCACCTTTTTTTCTAGAGAGTTCTGTTGTATATTTAAGCTTCAAACTTGCCTTTAAAAGAGGTTAATTGCACTTGTCGGATTGGAGTTTGCCCCTTCAGTGACTGCACTGCCATGTTCGGTTGCACCAGCAATGGATTTGACTTCTCACGCAGAGAGAGTTTCTGTAGAGTCTGTGTTAGTCTAAACAAACACAATTAAAAAGTCAGACAGCAGGTCAAAAAGAAAGTGCTTTCGAATTTGGTTGAGATGGTTCTGTATGTAAGTGTCAGTGCAGTAAGTGTGAATTGTTTTGTTACTCATTTATTGCAGCTTGGTCGACAGAGGAGTACATCCCATGACTTGCGCTCAGGAGCTGACTGACTGTAGCGACTGCTGACACTGCAATATCCTGAAACAATGAAGAAAAAGAGTTTCTCAAAACAATTCTGGTTTGTATAAGCACTGATGAGCCAAAACATTATTACCGGTCACAGGTGAAGCAAATACCGTTGATCATCTTCTAACAAGACCACATATTAAGGTCTGGGTAGATTAGATGGTAAGAAAACAATAACAATCCTTATAATCAACATGTTGAATGCAGGAGAAATGGGCAGGAATAAAGATCTGATCGAATTTGATACGGTCCAAATTGTTATGGCAAGGCATTTGGGTCAGAGTATCTCTGAAATGGCAAAGGTTGTGGGTTGCTCACAGTCAGCAGTGGTGAGAATTTACCAACAGTGATCCGAGAAGTGATAAACCACAAACCGGCGACAGGGTGTTGGGCACCTAAGGCTGGCTACAATACACAGTGTATCACACTCTGCTGCGTATGTGGCTGCTTAGCTCAGACCAGTGTCTACGATGAACCCTTCCTGTTCGACAGAAACCTAGCTAAAACCAAACAATTACATTACTTTAAATGAGTCCACCCCCCAGGATTACTGTTATAAACAACCTCATCTAAAAGGCAAAGGGGAGGTGTTGCTGTAATTTATAGTAATATTTTCAGAATTACTAAGAAATCAAGTTTCAAATATAATTATTTTGAAGTGTTGGTGCTTAATGTAACAATCGGAAATATAGTGCAAATGATAAATCACGTTTGAGATTTGTGCTGCCTACTGTATCCAGGCCATCAGGGCACCATACAGACTTTATCAAGAAATCAACAATCAGAATTAGTACTCGCTGCAGATAAAGTCCTAATTGTTGGTGATTTTAATATACTTATAGATAACGAAAAAGATGCATTGGGATTGGCCTTAAAGATATTCTTAACTCTATTGGAGTAAGACAACACGTGTCAGGACCTACTCATTGTCATAATCACACTCTAGATCTAATATTATCACACAAAATCAATGTTAATGCCATTGAAATTCTGCAGCAGAGCGATGACATCTCAGATCATTATCTAGTCTCGTGTAAACTTCATTTAGCCAAGGCTGCAAAGCTGACTCCGTGTTACAAATATGTTAGACCTATCAATTTTGCCACTAAAGATTGCTTTTAATAATCTTCCTGATCAGTTTCATCATCTAAGCATCCCAGATAGCTAAGAAGAACTCGATAGTGCGACAGAAAGTTTTAACTCTCTCTTTTCCAGTACTTTAGACACAGTTGCTCCGTTGTGCTTAAAAATTTAAGAAAATAGTCCAACGTCGTGGTACAACGAGCACACTCAGGCCCTTAAAGGGGTCATGAACTGGCTTTTTAATTTTTTTTTATTGTTGTCTGAGGTCAACTTATGACGTTCGCTTGGTTTTTACAATCTAAAACATCAAAATTAATAAGTAATACCCTAGTTTTGAGCCTAGCTCAAAAACGCTCGGTTTTTATGGGAGTCTCGCATTGAAGACTTGGAAGTAAATGCCCACTGCTGTGAGTGGATAACAGTTTTGCATATTATAATGAGTTTCAACTCACTCGTCAGTGCACGTGGGGGAAATTGTTATTTATCTATGCGTGTAATGCGCGAATTGGTGGGCGGGGCTAAACCGGCTGTGTTGAAGTAGACGTTGATCTTCCTTTGCGGGGGTGGTGTTTTATCCTCTTTGTCGTCATAGTTCCCCACTTTGAAAAACGAGTCGTTTGCTGAGCCTGGTGTCAATAAAAGCTTTTATTGGACTAACAAGGATGTTTTCAGTTCTGAAACTTACAGGATATTCTTATAATATGATGACCTCTTAGATGCCAAAAGCTCAAGGAAAATTTGATTTCTCAGTTCATCACCCCTTTAAGAGAGCAGGCAGACAAATGGAGCGCAACTAGAAGAAAACAAAACTAGAAGTATTTCACGTTTCATGGAAGGAGAGCTCAATTGCATAAATAGATGCCTTAAAAGCTGCTAGATCTGCTTATTATTCAACCCTATTAGAAGAAAATAAACAAAAGCTGAGGTATTTATTTGAAACAGTGGCTAAACTAATGAAAAATAAAGCCTCAAGCCCAGAAGTTTCCAAGCAGCACAGCAGTAATGACTTTATGAACTTCTTCGCTTATAAGATTGATAATATCAGGGAAAAAATTATAACCATGCAACCGTCTACTACAGCATCGCATCAGGGAGTGTATTTTAGTCTCCCTAAGGAAAAAATGTATTTAATCATTACTGTAGGAGAGGAAGAATTTTTTTAACTCGTTAAATCATCTAAATCGACAACATGTATATTAGACCCTATACCAACTAAGCTAATGAAAGAGATGCTTCCAGAGGTCAAAGATCCTCTTCTGAATATCATTAATTCATCTTTGTCATTAGGATATGTACCAAAAAGTTTTAAGCTGACTATGATTAAACCACTTGTTAAAAAATCACAACTTGATCCTATAGAATTAGTCAATTACAGGCTGATCTCGAATCTACCTTTTCTGTCAAAGATATTAGAAAAGGCAGTATCTTCACAACTGTGTATCTTCACAAATGATATCTGCAAGGATTTTCAGTCAGGATTTAGACCGTACCATAGTACCGAGACAGCTCTCATTAGAGTCAAAAATGATTTGCTCTTATCATCCGATCGTGGTTGTATCTCTCTATTAGTGTTACTTGATCTTAGTGCTGTATTTGATACCATTGACCACAACATTCTTTTAACCCTCTGGGGTCTGAGGTGTTTTCAGGGTCCTTGAGATGTTTTGGCATGCTCTGACATTTCTGCTTTTTTCAGTTGCTTATAAACATATTAATGGCACAGGTTAAATTACACTCTATATAGCACACACAGGGCTACCATAATATGTGAACAACATGTTAATACATGTTTGTATTGTTGAGAGAATATTGTTTATGCGTGGTTATTGAAAAAACTAAAAAATAAAGTTTCTAATATAAGGCCACAAATAACATACTAAATATCTGTCCACAAGACTTTTGACTAGTGGATGTTGTCGCCTAGAGTTTTTGCTTCGAATTGATCTGAAAATCATTCTGCCTAATCATTCACATAAAACAATAGATTGTTTTAAATTGTGAAAAACATTTTTTTGTTTGCAAAGGCAATATGCGGATGGGCGGAACGGCCCAACCCCCTCATGAATAATTAGGCAGTTCTCACCTGAGCAGACTGCATACTAATGAGCCTTTCATTCAGTGGTGTCACACAAGAAAGAATGCAAGGAAAAAATATATATATATAAATAAATAAATAAATATGTATACACACACACACACACACACACACACACTATATATATATATATATATATATATATATATATATATATATATATATATATATATATATACACTACCGTTCAAAAGTTTGGGGTCAGTGAGAATTTAATTTTTATTTTTTGGAGGAAAGAAATCAATACTTTTATTTATCAAGGAATAATTAATTTGATCGAAAGTGACAGTAAAGACATTTATAATGTTACAAAAGATTCTAACCCTAACCCTATTAATCAAAGAATCCAAAAAAAAAAAAAAAAAACTGTACAACTGACAGACCAACAACTGTTTCAACATTGATAATAATAATAAATGTTTCTTGAGCATCAAATCCTCATATTATACTGATTTGTGAAGGATCATTTGACACTGAAGACACTGACACTGGTGATGCTGAAAATTCAGCTTTGATCACAGGAATAAATTACACTTTACTATATATTCACACAGAAAACAGCTGATTTACACTGGAATAATATTTAATACTATAACTGATTTTTGTTGTATTTTTAATCAAATAAGCGCAGCCATGGTTAGCAGAAGAGAATTCTTTTAAAAGTATTTAAAATCGTACCGACCCCAAACTTTTGAACGGTAGTGTGTATATATATACAAACAATCAAAATATAAATGAAAGCCAAAAGCACATTTTTAGTCACACCTTTTAGCCATCCACATACCATTTTTAGCCATCCACCGCGGTCAAAATAAACCAGTCGCATTTCAAAGTCGTTCGCGAAACGACCGCCAGGTGGCGCAAAGGGACATTTAGCAAAACGTAAGTGGGGCTAATGTCTGTAGCCTAAGGATGAAATGCTACAAGTTATGGTAATTTCCAAATAAGCCTACAACAAACATTTATAGCCTACTCCGTAATTGTTGGTCATACAGATAAGATATAATCTTTTAAAACTGTAAAAGGCTAAAGTATAGGCCTACACTCACAGGCTAAATGAAAAAATCGCTCATGTGAGAAACAGACGTTTGGATATTTCTCAGTGAGTAAATTCATAGCCGAGCGGTAGAACTTAGGGTTCATCATCAAGATGACACGGGTTCAAATCCCGCACAAACAAGGTCTGCTGTATATTTTATATTTATTTAGATTTGTCTAGCTCTAAAACTCTGTTACACCATACAGTTTTTTTTGCTTATATTTATAAAATACAATTATCATGCATTTCCATTTTACACTAAGGAAAAAAAATAGTATCCAACAGAACGACTTTGCATCTGTATAATAATAGGCTACCAATCGTAATTTCAAAAGCAGTTATGTAAAAAAATTAATTATATATAGCCTATATATATATATATATATATATATATATATATACTATATATATATATATATATATATTTTTTTTTTTTTCAGGGCTGCCAACTCTCACGCAATTGACCCAAATCTCACGCTCTCACGCCACACCCCCGATTTCTCACGCTGAAGTGTCAACCCGGTCGGTCAAATTCCTAAAAGATATAGTTTATCTATAGATCTACCTGTTGAGCCACTCGTGATCGACTAGTTATACCGCAAATTAGTTAAAATATCCCGTAATCTATCTAGAGCGAGCGTGCATGCGAGACAGATATTGTGCTCCAAACCATGCGCGCGCATGGCAGAGAGGTCTGTTCCCCACAACCTAGAGTTTTTAAAAACATGGTTTTAAGTAAAGTGTGATTTGCCAGGGGGGACTAGGATTTCCTTCTGGTCTAAACATCCCTGCTTC